CGGCGGGGCGGTGGGCAGCGCGGCGAGCGGCCGCGCGGCGCAGTCGGCCTTCAGCATCCCCAGCGGCGGCGGCGGCCCGTACGGCTCGCAGGACTCGGTGCACAGCAGCCCGGAGGACGGCGGAGGCGCCAGGGACCGGGACCGGCCGGCGGGCGGGGGCCCCGGCGGGCCGCGCCTGGTGATCGGCTCTCTCCCTGCCCACCTCTCCCCGCACTTGTTTGGAGGTACGGCCCCCCGCCTTGGCGGCGGCTCCCCAGATAGGGAAGCGCCCCCGCCCGCTTTGCAACGAGGTGAACGGGACAAGTATTGTTTTAAAACAAACTGACGAAACAGCCTCGTGGTTGTAGCTTTTAGTACCAGGAAGTCAGGGGAGGTGGGTGGCTGAGTGAAGTTCAGCCCCAGAGCTGAAGGGCGAGTAATTTTAAAGGCCCAAAGCCAGAAGGGGCTCACGTGGACGTTTGGGTGTTGGGGGGTGGGGGAGGGAAAAAAGGAAGTTATCTCTGCTTTGGATCGACTCCTAACAAAGCTGCAATCCTTGAGTCTCTGTAAATAGCCTTCCCTACTTACTGGGTACATGTTACCTGGGTGTGTGTGTTAAAGCAAAGTGTTGTTTTACCCTCAGGAAACTGCTGCTTTTACAGGAGTGGCTAATGTCACTACTGCTTAGTTTGAGCTGATTGTGGAAGTGTTCAAGAACAGTTATTTAAAGAGATAACCATCACAGTGATCACAACTGTACCCGCAGAGGCAGTAATTGGACACGGTCTCTCGAAGACCGGTGTTGACTAGAGTTAAGGGAAAAAAATTTAGAGGTCAGTGATGTGCTTTTGCCTTGTTTGAAAGAGGAAATAGGTAGGGTGCACTTGATCGTGAAAACGTGAACTCGACCGCACATTCCTGCCTCCGTGCGTTGAGCATCTAGTATTATGCATTCATATTTGAGCACAAAATGATGAGCACAAAACTCCACCCCTTCTGTTTTTAAGACCTCTTTATTCGGGTCCTTATCAATGTAAGAAATTTGGTTGAGCCGAGCGTTTCCTAATTTGTGTTCTAAAGCAATCAGAATCCAGTGTTAGTTGACCAGAGTGTCTTGTTTAGTTTCTACCATCCTAATGATACCCTGTACGCTTGGGATGAGAGCCCTTAGCTTTTAGCTACCTTTATTATTTTTTAATAACAAAGCGTTGTTTGTTTGTGAGGTTCTGGGACTCTAACCCAAGTTACTGAGCTAACGTGTTAGGTAAGCTTTTTACCGCTGAGCTAAACATCTAGCCTGCTCCTTAAATCACTTGCTCATTGTTAAGTTTTACAGTGTCAGTAATTATAGCAGTGTTTTCCAAAATCGAGGCATCTTAAAATTTTTTTTTTTTTTTGTTTTTGAGGAAAAGAACTAATTATGTCCTTCACTGTGATTTGAGGCACTGTAATTTTCTGAGAATTGGAGAGTAATGCTACATTTTGAAAATATGTATCTTTTTAAAAATGAAGATTTTATGGAGCAGTTATGATCATCACAAGTAGGAACAAGAAACAGGAATAAGAAAAGTCTCTTCAAGTTAATAATTAGTATACTGATTACTACTTAGATTCGGTTTTTCTCAGGTTGATGATTCTCTTTGATAAGAGTTAGTTTGTATGTCATTATTTTATTAAAGTAACTATGTGGAGCTGGGCAGATGGCCTTTCTGCTATTAATTCCTGAAAATTGGCAAGACCTGTTTGCCAAACACTGGGACACAAGCTTTTTATTTTTTTAATTTTTCTAATTTAATTCTTAGATTTGTGCACCTCATGTGTAGTTCTTCAGTAGTCCTGTTGAGTGTGAAAGACAGGTTTGGGAGGAAGACAGTGGCTCTAGGGAACGTGGGGCAGCTTTGCTCATCCAGATCTGTGGTGAGGTTGAGGGCCAGGAAGTCCTAGGTCATCAATTGTGTGGAATGACTTCAACTTTTCCCTCCAGTTCAATAAGAACTATTACATAGATGTGTCATTCTTGGGACATTTGAGAAGATAGTTACTCATTTTTTTTTGTGTTTCCTGATTCATGTGAGAAACTTCTCTTGACAAAGGCCTAACGGGGATCAGAAATGACCTATTCTTACTTGAGAAAGGATGAAAAGTGCTGTGACCTTAAAATCTCTGTTGAGATGGATACCTAATGAGATTTGTACCTACCTGTATGTCGTGGGGTCATGAGAAAACTGATAGAAGCATGATTCTAATAATTCTGAGATGGAGGGAACTAGATGTGGAATCTTAAGTAATTAGACTTGATTCTTTACATTGACTTCATGTTTTTAATGTTTTGTACCAGTGTATTTAAATACTGTTGTTAAAGGGTGGACATATCCAGTGTTTTTTGAGTTATGAATTGTTAAGGCATATATAATAGACTCCATTTGAAAATTGAGAAAAAGTATTTCTGAATTTAATGGGAAGTACGTATTGTAACTATATAAACCACTGATGTTTGTAGTTTGCTAACCAGAAAATATGTTACTAAAAATAATCAAATAATCGTTCTTTGTAGACTCTCAATGCCAAATATTGAAAGAAAAACCAAAACTGTCACTCTTTAAATTGTTTTACTCTTAGGAGTCTAGCTAGTAGATTTGTAAGCTGCTCTATTGCAACCAGGTGCCAAATTGAGTGAGGTTTTTTTGTGGTGATTTTTTAGTTTTTCTGTCTTTGGGATATATATATATATATATATATATATATATATATATATATTATAGTGGCTGCACATCTTTCTTTTTTTTTTTTTTTTCTCTAGAGAATTAAATAACTAGAAGGGAGGTGACTAGCCTGATATTTCAGCTTCTAGGCATTGCGCTCTCATAGAGGTCATGATATAGGTAGACTGCATGGAGTTGTAGAGGAAGTAGGGCTGGCTTGTTTTCATTTACTTCTAGACTGGTGAGGTGAGTCCTGTGTATATACCATGAACAGAAATCCTCTCTTGATTACTGATAACATTCTGGTCCCATTTGTTTTAAAACTGGCCTCATAGGGCATCGTTAACATTTGAAAGCCTTGGTATCTTCAGGAGGATTTGTTTGACTTTATGCCTGCATTTTCCTCCTACGTTGCTGAGTTCATAAAAGCTGTTAATAGGAGTGGTAAAATAGCCTTTCCTGATGTAGCTGTCAAAGGAGGAGATTTAGACTCCCAATTAGTGGAGACTTTCTAGAGAAATTATATGGACTTCAGTAATGTATCTGTATGTCTGGTAGTGAGATTGTAAAGTGAATTACTTTGAGACATTGAACCAGGAGTTCTTTGCTGCTTTTGGCTGCTTACTTGTCTTGAGTTTATTTGGGTGTGGCTTGCCTGGGAGTAGTCCAGCAGCCTGTAATTCAGGTGTCTCCTGTTACTTATATTGAAAAAGGCTGAGCCATCATTTGAAATTGAGTGTGTTAAATAAGATTTGTATTCCTAGGAAGATTTATTTAAATTAATTTTTAGCACAGATATGAAGTTTTATGGAGTTGTTCTCAGTCATTACTTACAATAGGTGCCGAAATGTTTGAAATTGGGAAATTGTAGTTAAGCTGCTCTCCATTCTTGGATTTTCTTTTATACAGTTGGTAATTTTCTTGCGATGGGGCAGAAGTGATCTTTGCTGCTCTGTAGGGGAAGCCATGCTGCTAACTACCACTCCTGCCGTTCCTGCCAAGGGTCCCGGAGAGTTAAGGTTTCTTACTTGTAGCCTTTAACACAGGTGATACCTTGCTTGCTGAAGTGTGGCATCTGTCCTGGGCGCTCCTGCTTTGGGAACAGTTTGGAAGTGACTTTGAGGTCGGAGGTGGAGTGGGATGAGTTGCACAGTCTGGCCCTTTGAAAGCTGCAGGACTTGGCTGGTGGAAGAGCTCTCTGTCTGTGGTGTACTCGCACCAACAAGCCTGCCTGCCTCTCTTCTGCTTGGTTGCTTTGCCTGGTGACCAGTAAGTAGGTTCTTATTGCTGGTGGCCCACCTATCTCTTGTCTTGTGCATAATTTTATGGAGAATTACCTTAATGCTCTACTTATCAGACTGACTGACTATGCGTATAATCTGGGATATTGGCAGATGGACTAAGAGAAAAGTGCTTTATGTAGCAAAGTACTTTCTAAGATTTACTCTCTTCTGTAAATATTCCTAAGCATTTTAAGTGCCAGCTTGTTTAAATTTTGTAGGTTCTGCACTGTTTGACATTAACGTGTTTAGAAATGGGAGAAACCATGGTATTTTGTGTGAACAAAAGGGTCAAGAAAGAACTTCTGTACTGTAGGAGTATTTGCTTTCTATGCTGCTCCTTAGTAGAGTGTAACAAATCTGTTTGATGCAGTATACATTGTTGAGTATCTGTGGGGCAGGAGCCTGGGCACAGCTGTGGGCCAGGCTGTTGGTGTGGGCACTGCGGGTGCTGGGGAGGATCTGCTTCCAAACTCCCTCAGGTGGATTGGCATAATTCATTTCCTTGTGGTTAGGGTCACAGTATCTTACTCCTCTCCTGCCTCCTAATTCTTCGTGTAGAGCCATAGAGTCCCTGTCCCTCCCTCCCTTCCTTCCTCCTATTTCTTTTTTTCTGTGTAACAGTCCTGGCTGTCCTGGAACTCTCTACACCAGGCTGGCCTGGAACTCACAGAGATCTGCCTGTCTCTGCCTCCAGAGTGCTGGCTTATTAAAGGTGTGTACCACTACCACCTGGCTGGTGACATTTTCATAGTTTTATCTTGTTTACTTTGAAAACATTCACTTCTCCATTAACCTCTTTTGTGCCCATCTCCTTCCTCCTTCCAAATAGTTCCCCTTTTAGTTTCATCCTCTTTTTAAACCTAGATTTCAAAAACATGAAGTGTTTGTGTTTGAGTCTGGCTTATTTCACTTAACTGTACTCCTCATTTCTGTCCATTTTCATGCAAACAACGCGTCACTTTAGCATATTTTATTTTATGTATGTGAGTGTTTTGATTGCACATATGTGCATGCACCATGTTTGTGCCTGCTGCATGAGGAATTCACAAGAGGATGTCAGATCCCCGGAAGCTCACCGTTGTGAGCCAGAAGATTGGAGCTGGCTCACAGGCAAGAGGAACAAGTGCTTGTAACTGCTGAGCCATGTCTCCAGCCCCTTAATTTCATTCTTTATGGCTGAATAGAACCCCACTGTCACTGCATAGACCATATTTTATTCATGTATTGAAGGAGACCTAGGCTAGTTCTGTAACTTAGCAA